TTTAGCTGTGATATATATTGCAAATCCAAGAGATATTTAAAATTTTTCATTTTTCTCTGGTTGCAGTGCATCCCTATTAGAACTTCTAGGGGGATGTTTTATGTGAAACSCTGTAAAACAGATTTTATGTTTTAGTAAAATACAGGCGTTTTTTATAGACTGTCTGCGTATGCATGTTACTGTGTTCTTTCAAGATGCCTTTTTCCAAAGTGAATTCTTGTTTGTTTGGAATGATTAACTATTCTTGTTGCTAAGAAACATGAATTTTCTGTCTAGAAAATTTCCAGCGGAATTTGCAAYTGCTTTTGTAGACTAGTGCAATCTTTTTATTGTTGCAGAATAACTGTTTTGGTCAGACTCTGTAAATTGAATACACATGCTTTAACACATGCTCCCGTCTCTTCGGAATTCAAAATAATTTTATGGTTATTTTTAAAATAATTTCTGTCATAAAAAATAGGTCAGTGAAAAACATGTAACTTTAATGGACTTTTATTTATATCTTAAAGGAGAAMCTATCCTCATAAGTGAAATGGAGTATTTGGGTGGAGGTCTCTGCTCTTTTAGTAACCAGCAACTACATGGTTTTTTTGTTTTAATTTGGGGATTAGTTTCCCAAAAATTATTCTGCTGAAAAATCTGAATCTCATTTCCTTAAAAGAATATGTGTGAATGAGCTMTTATACTATTGTGCCTTTTTTCATTCTCTTCAGGACAGTCTAGAGGCAAGACCCTTTTCACAACTCTGGCTGTAGGACATTACAAATAATCTAAATATCACAAAATGAACAGAGGGTGGGTTCTATGATGGTTTCCCCTATGCCTGGCTCAGTCTCTGATCCGCGAGTCTTTGGTAATTGAAAACACTTCCAACAGCCATGTAGACCAGCAGTATTTAGGATTTTTCTGTGGGTATGGGGTCCAYGTTGGAAGGGGTTAATGGGTGCCTTGTAGGTGACAGCAGTGCAGCTCTGTTTGTCCCCTCCAGGCCATAGAGGGTGCTATCGGTGGCAATGCCTACCAGCACAGCAAAGTGAACCAGTGGACAACAAGCGTGGTGGAACAAACCCTGAGCCAGCTCACAAAGCTGGGGAAGCCCTTCAAGTACATCGGTGAGCTCAGCTTTCCCTTTCCTGTGAGCTACTACAGTCAAGTGCACCACTAGGTGGGGTGGGGGAAGATCTTAGCAAGAACCTTTTCTGTAAACTGCTCACACGTGTGCCTGTTTGCCTGTGTGTGTGTATGCATGTGCTGAGCTGAGAAAAAATGTGGCTAAATGTTAATTAATATTAGTGAGAAATTAATCAGAGCTTCTCTATTGACTGACAGTGACCTGTGTGATTATGCAAAAGAATGGTGCTGGGCTACATACAGCAAGCTCTTGCTTCTGGGACAATTCCAGTGATGGTAAGGAACACAGCTCTTGGATTTTCCAACTTGCAGCTTAAAGCTGGTCTCTTTAAGGCTAGGCAGTGTGCTTTTTCTTTCCCCCAATGCTGTAGTTTCGGACTAGTAGCATACTGTTTGATATTCTTTCCATTTGGTTGTGATGCTAACTGGGCTAGATATTAAATGCTTAGCTGTCATGAAAGCCTCATTGTTAAGATTCTGAAAGTAAAAAAGTTTAAAAATGCATATGGGGCATGCATGTAATCATTGTCATTTCCTTCTGTTTCTGAAACCGTTTGTTTTTTATTTGTAGGAACCTGCACTGTGAGATGGGAGAATAAGACCATGTACTGTATCGTCAGTGCCTTTGGACTTGCAATATAACTGCCTTGAAATCTTTCATTCTTCTTTTTTCTATTCCAGCACTTGATTCCATCTCCACTCAAACTGTGAATACCTGAACAAYTTGTTTTTATGTATTTTTTAAGTAACTTTTCTTCAAATGTAGAAATTGAAAACATGCTGTTACATGTTTTATGTTTGTACCTAGGACCATGCCAGTGTTTCCTATACTTTTTTATCACTTCAAAACTTCTCTTCAAGGTGCTAATACTGAAATCTGCTGCAGTGTAAACACTTTCTCTAGATTTCTTTTCTAAGACCAATATAAATGAGACATTGACTTTCACACTTTGTACTTTTGGTTAGCATTAAATTATTGAAATTCATAACCATTGGTGTGACTCATTTAAACTTAAAACTTTTATTATTGGGGGRAAAGGTTTCAGTTTTTTCAATTCTCTTCAGGATAGTCGAGGTACATACCAGAATGCAAAGCACTTTCATAATTTTGCCAAAGTCACTACGAAGTTGCAAGAAAATTAGATTATGTTTATCCAAAAGTAACTTGATTGCATGTTTGGGGTGTTTAATATTTTTGTATGGTATTTAGGACATGGAACGATAACTGTCTTCATTGAACAAAGTCAGATAAGAAATTTTTCACATTCTGAAGTGCTCAGCAAGCTATACCTGGATTATCATTCACTTCTGCATCCAGTTACAAGTGTTAAGTARGTCTTGAACTTACTTGTTACAGTCCATGTTAATTTTGCTGATAGTGAAGGTGATGAGTTCTGGTAGTTGTTGAAACATGATCCTTTGAAAGGGGAAAAAACTGCCTTGAGGCAATGTAACTAAGTAACATGATAGTCTCCTGCCTTCTAGAGTGAAGTTGCAGAAGAGTAACAAGTATAACAGGTTTTCACTATAGGCTTGGGTAATGTTTTCTGAGCCAATTAAAGAAATGGGAGCATGCTATGAATTTCAGAAAACCTCTGCAAGCAGCAGCTCATTGCTGGTGAAGCTGAAAGAATTGCAGACCAAGTGTGGGAGAGGATCTYTGGGCTGGAGTTAGTCTGAGTGATCTGAGATTTGTTTCTTTGTAGGAGGCCCTATCTAATGTTTCCAGAATCTGGSTCTCAGCTAAAGCTGTTTAGAGAGAGATGATTGCTAATACAACAGTATGATTCCACRATCTGGAAAGACACAGTACTGCAAATTCAAATGACAGGAGAGGGTTTGTCATAGTATTACATGCTCTGTGATAACTCTGCTCAGTGTATGCAAACTGGAAAACCCTGTGCCAGGCAAGGCTTTTACCCTCTTCYTCTCCCTATCTGCTGTCAGGAGAGCAGAACAGTTGTATGTATAGCAGTTTTGGGCTAGGGTACATTTGAGACTCTTACTAGAGCTGTAAGGCTTCAGTATTTCTGCTGACATTCCAGTTTCAAAACTTGTGCACATATATATYCTCCTTTCCCAGTAAGCTCTGTAAACACATGACATCCCTCTTTACTCTTCTCACGTATGTCCTAGTGAGTGCTACAGGGCTATACAGAGTGTACAAACCTTAGCCTGAGGAGCACGCACCTTACATTGCTGTAGCTGAGGGAGCCTTAGCATGGGTTCAGTATTCAGCAGGAAATGATACAACACCTGTAAAAAGAAAATAATAAAACAGATTGAATAATGTGCCTAAAATAGTCATCAGGGTGAGAGGGAGAGTTGTCATGAAAAGAATAAATCTCGCTCTCTTGAATTGCTAAGGACATTTTTTATCTGGATGCCAGAATGATGTTGGCAGCGTAGTACCTACTAAGCTATTTATTTACATTTAAAAGGAATAGTTTTGTGCACTTTGAGTCAATATTTGCCTCTTGGTCAAGCCATTCAGACATTTCTTGTCCTTTGTTCATGTTAGTCACAGCAAATCCCATGATTTTTTGCTGTTTGTTGGTTTGTGCATATGCTGAGCTGGAAAAAACTGTCAGTGTAAAGGCTACATGGGAGGAAAAACCCCTGTTGCATTAAAACAAGTTGTGCTAAAGGAAGGTAGGTACAGTTTTGTARATGGTTATAGATAGTACATAAGCAATAACCAAAACTTCCAATGTAACAACTTCAGGACTACAGAAAGGAGTTTAGAGGTTGTGGATTTTTAGGTGTTGGTGTCCCCCTCCCATGATTATGGTAGTGCTTTTTGTTTAAATTGCATAGCAGTTGTATGTTACTGTTCCACTGTTGTACAGTAACTGGTTTTTAAATTTTCATTACCTTCAAACACCTTAGTTTTAATCACTTTTTTTCCAGAGGCTGATGGCCAGCTCATCTCAGTGCTGAAATAAAGTGATAAGCTTGCAGAGTCCTTGCTCTGGGTAATTACTTGTCCTTAAAAAAAATAGTGCAKACTGTGGGCTGGAGCATTCAAGAAGGCAATTACAAAGTCAGTCTCTCTGTCCTGTCTCTTATTGCTATGACTCTTAATATGAATACAGGTATAGAAACAGGGGGCATGACAGCCCCAGTCTGCAGGGGAGGAGGAGGAGGAAGGGGAAAACCATTTACTGTCACTGCCACAGAGTCTAACCTGCGTTAACTAAAACCGAAGGAAATGGCTCCAGGATTAACTGCTGCTACTAAATAAGCACTACCCTAGTCTTACTAGCCAGGAGTAAGCTGCATATCCATTTGTGCACGGAACTTTGTGGCCATTTTATGTAGCACAGAGAGATTTCAATCTCTCCTCGAGTTTATATAAGAAATGGCATCACCCAAAACAGCAAGAGATGTACTGATCACTTCTGCAGTTTACCAGCTATGAGCACACTTTTGGAAGATGTACAGCTATAAGAAGTTGATGAATGACATCAGCATCTTCACCATCTCTAAACCTTTTCAATTACTGGCCTTAACATTCACCAGGGGAATTCTCACTGCCAGCATGACCACTGCAGGCTTTGCAAAGCCACTGTGAAGCCATTTGAGAATGCCAGGTCCCTTTTGTAACCTGGCTGGCATATTTAGGAAAATTAGCAACCTGTCCTTCCATCTTCAAGTTCAGGTAGGGTAATAAAAAAAACCCCAACAAACAATACAAAACATCTGTTGGCTGTTGACACAGCCTCTTGGATCCCATCCTTATGCAATTAACCAAGTTTAAATATGCATAAGAAAGTGCAGGTAAACTGAAAATATATGTAAGTCATAAAAACAGTTTATGAAAAGGAAAGTAAAATTCAGAAGAAGGAAAATAAACCCAGGATACAATATAAAGATATAAAACTTTATTATGAACATATTTAACAATGATTATGCACATAAAGTCTTCCAAGAAACTTTCTTGAAGTAAAATATTCAGTTTTCCTTCATATTCCACATTAGCATGAAGTTTTGCCACATAAATGGATAATTTGCCATTATTAGCACAACTTACAGATACACAGAATATTTAACATGTCCTCATGCACACTTTCTCAAAGCAGCATTTAATTACAGCTTCTCATTAAACAGAGCACTTATCTTACACTTTTTTATACCATTTTGGTACACAATTTTTCCATATTTTCATTTTACATATTTACAAATGCCTAAAAAAAAGGTTTTACAGTAATGCAAAAGTTATTACTGGCATAAGCAAAAGGAAATGCGTGGGGACATTAGGTGACTATGGATAAAATGTCATTTGGCTCACAGAAAGACAATAGATCCAAGTCTTTCCTAGCTGGAATAGTTCTCCCCAATATTGTCCCACAGATCCAATGCACTAGCTGTTTTTCACTGATGTTAAACCTTCCTCTGCCAGTCCTAGGAAAGTCTTCAACCAATTTCAACATCAGCTGTATTTGTAAAGCAAATACTATAGACACTAGTTGCTATGACTGGCTTGCACTCAATTATTGATTCCTTGAAAGTCCCTTGTAATCACTGTGTATGTGGCACTCTTGCAGTTACTTAATGRATGACCTCTCCTTTAGAGCAAGATCACTGTGTGCTGTAGGCCCTTTCTGTGTACTTGTTTTGTGAAGTTCCAATAGTGAGGGAAGTAAGTACTTCAGCAGTAATAAAAGGAAAGCCAGGCTACTTCTTAAACAGATTTCTTCTGTTTGACTCTTAGATTTCAGTACTTTACTCAGAGGTGAATTTATGCCACCTACTCCCAAGCTGTTYACAATCCATATTGGAATATTCTTCAAATATTGTCTCTGCTTTCCCATCATGGAAATAAGAGGAGTCTTGCTAGTATAACTAGTTCCTCATRTGCTTCACTCCTTTTGTCACCTTACTGTATATTGAATTTGATGCAACAGTGCTTCAACCAAGCTACCATAACACTGTAGCATTTCCAAAACAGAAAGCTATTTTGCATGGCAAACATTGCTTAAATATAATTTCTAAAAATTACCACAGAAACTATTTTCTCACTCTTTTCAGTGAGATACTTACTTCAAGTACACATTTCCCAATCTTAGGTTTTCTATTTCCACTTTGAATGTAGTGATGCAGTGAAGTTTATTCAAATAAAACAACAAGAGAAATGGATTGAAAACAACTTAGAAAAAATAATCTCCAAGTTAGATGAAAAATACRGGTTTTTGTTAATGAAATCCCAAAGCATGGCACTATTTCAGAGTTAACTGTAACAACCAGTTCAGACCGTGATAAGAAACATTAGTGTACTTGGACATTGGTCAAATTTTATCTCTTCACAACAATTTAGAAGAGAATTAAACAGCATCGGAGGAAAAAAATACCTGAATATATAAGAATTGTGTAAATACCACTCTTTGAAGACCTACTTCTTGTATCTGTTATTCCAGTGGAACTTAAGGGATTTGGCTTATGCAAACAATGCCAAATTGGTTCCCATATCTGACTGCACATTCAAATAGGGAGAATTATCTTAGGAATAGCAAAAATAAGAATGGGCTCTCAAATTTCAGGATACAGAGCATCTCCCATACCCTTTAAAAGTAGTCTAATAAGAAATGCTGAAGGTACATTTACTACAGTTCACTGGAAAGAAAACCACCACTAACTTGAATTTTTTAATGTTTTCCTGTATGTTCTTCTAAAGYAATATCAATTAGGAAATTGAAGGGAAAAACCTTATCTTTCTTCCCCATCAGTTTCCTTGCCTTAGCCATATGACAGTGCTTTGGCTTCTAACAAAGAAATGATCCCTGGCATAAGAAGGTTTTCATTTCAGATACCCTCAAAAAATTTCACAGTTTGACATAGTTTTAGAAAGCTTTCCCTCTCTCACACACACAATGTCTCCTGACACATCTTTAGCAGAGCACTGATTTAATCTGAGCTATTCTACAAYAGCAAGGGCACAACCACATGAATCAGTTCCTTTGGTCGTCTCTGAGTTGCTGCCTTGTCAAGTCTACCTTTCATGATCTTGAACCACGAGGTTATTACAATGGGAATGGTCTAGAGCAGTTGTTGCATTAAAGCACAACAAATCTCCTTTTTCCCCAGTATCATTCAGCAAGTCTAGCAGGACTTCATTGCACTATTCTGCTTAAACTACTTTAATGCTGTAGTAATGATTAATTCCCTAGTACAACCCAGCACCTTATTGTAGTAGATTAACAGTGCTTTYGAGAGTCTTCAACAGCAGCAGGGTAGAGAAATTTTACAAGAGTTAATCTCTGTTACAAATACASGAAAAAAGGAGATACTTTTAGAAAAGTATCTGAAAACAGAAGTAGGTACAAACAAACATCTTAAATAATGAACTGAACAATGGTGTAGGAGAAAACCAACTTCTAAATAGAGAAGCAGCAGCATTGTACAAGGAATATTTAATTCCCATATAACTTCRTTCCAGCACAGACTGGAATACAGATAATCACAAAATGTGCTAGTAAAAGTTCCCATCATACAGGTGGCAACTGRTATGACAAAGGAGCTAAACTGTGCACAGAACATGCTCACAAGCTGACTCAGGCACGTTCAATATACAAGCAACCACAATTGTTCCTAGCATGTAGAGTATCAATACAAYAACTATTAATACAACTTGAGGGAAAATTCATGTAGGAAAAAAACTCTAAAAATGAAATGTTTGGAAATTTCAAACTGTAATTCCTTAGAAAACTTTCATAGTCTATTCTMTGTAAGTGTAACAATCTCCTCCAGCACACAAGAAGACCAGCAAGAAGCCAGTACTGGCTTCCTTCTGAGATTTGTTGTTGCTGAAATATTTCCATTTGAAAGCGCTATTTAGAAAAAACATACAGACACGTTGTGGCAGTAAAGCATGTCATGAAACACACGTAATTTCGCACCACTGACATTTTCCTGGCTCACTACAAGTTGACTGTTTTCCCATATCTTGCACTTACAAATCTAGTAAACGTAATGAAATGTATTTTAAAAATGGCCTGAAGGCTGTATCACTTATTTCAAGGAAGAAYTGAAAGCTTGTCTTCTTTGCAGTGATTAAAAAACCAAGAAAGACCACTTCATTCCCTGCCTCCAGCTCAAAAGGCTAAGGTAGAAAATTGAAAGGGAAATGAGGCACTTCATACTGCAGTGGACARTATACARAACAGCTAATGCAAATGCAACAGATGAATGCTGTACATCGTTGTAAAGAGARGAAAAAAATTAAAAYCAAGCAGCAAAKAAGCAATTTGAAACTCAGTATATAATCTGTGAGACTTTTAAATGGAAATAGATGAAGATTTTAGTCCACAGACATCCTGTTCTCAGGCATTTTATAAGACACGTAAAAATTTTGGTTTCTTAAGATTTCACCACAACYATTTCCAGCATTCGTTTTCTCAGTTTTATCCTTGTAAACAGAAACAGAAGCAGGATGTCCTTCCTGGGAGTTGGTGTTCAGATGACGGCAGACTGTAAGTCATCCATCTAGGAAAACTTCAGAACTGGCTTCATTCCAGATGAACACATCTCTCTACACTGAAACCAGTCAATCAATCACTGTCTGACTCTTCTTTGTACTTGGCTCTAATAGCTTGGCCGTTCTGAAGTGGCATCTCTTCATAGTCACTCCTGTGAAACAGACAGGTGTTGAAACTTCTGAACATGGTGTTCAGACATGAAGTTGAAAATAAACAGGAAAGTTCTAAACTACACTGAGGCATCAGTGTTACTTGGGTAAGAAGCTGGCATTGTTTTTTCTTTATTGTGGGAGCCATAAGCAACACATACAAATTTTCTCTAGAGGATGATGCATAATAGAAGTTATTCCAGTGAAAGCCATTTTTCACACAGATTTGCTTAGAAGCAAGCTGGCACTATCACTACTCATCTAACTAACCAAAGGCAAGCTATCCCAGCATGAACTGGTTCAGGTTGGTGCAGTGTTGGTCCCATCCTCACTGTTCCAGCCACTTCAGTGTCTTCAGTAAGAGGTAAAAACACCAAGGGCAGGTAATGGCTGTATTTCAGTGTCTAGCACAAACACAACTTAAYTGGAATGGGCTTTAACTGCTACTGTAATTCTCATATTACATAAAATCACACAAGTMAAGGAAGTTTTGCTAGACTTGAATATTCTTAATTCAATAAGAATTAASGTCTGGAGACCTAAGGAGTGCCATTCTCCTTCCCAAAAGCATTGACCTATGAGCTGCCTCTTTGCTAATTCCACCWGACTCCTGCTGTCCTTCCCAGCGTAAAAAGCAAGCCCTTTCATTCCACAGCTGTAGCTGCCTTCACTCCATGACCTACCAGCATCATAATACTTTCTTACCCATTTGTATCAGTGCTATGGCAGTCCCTTTCAGAAACCAANAAAAAAAAAAAAAAAAAAAAAGAAAAAACATGCATTCTCACTGTATTTGTTTTAGAAAAGGCTACATTTCTATTCTTTAGGCAGAAAACTTTCACTAACAAACCCCTCACTTAATTAATATATAAAAGAATAATACAAAAAAAACACACCAGAAGTAACTCTCCATAGGTATTTTATAATCTTACCCATAGATCACATCATCATCTGAATCATTCAACATGGAAAAAGCAGGATTGTCTTTCAACTGTGATTCTGGAAAATCAAATAAGGGTTAGTTTASTGTGTTAAATATAGACTGTAAATGTGACTGTAGTTCTAACTCAACACTGTAGCAACAGACACAACAACTTTCAGGGCAGTCACAGCCACAGTTTAACAAAACTATATCCATACAGGAATTCTGTCCTTTAAATTCTCTACCCTTCAGCCACATAATTATGGTAAGAGCTAAGGGAATTACATTATTATCTCATTTTTAGATATTCTCCATGTTGTGTATGTTGGCTTTCCTCCCCTGTGCAATTTTCTGTGTYGTATTTCAGCTTTCACATAAATTCATTAATCAAAATTTTGTCTATATTTTAAAAACTTCTGTTATTTCAAAGCTACAAATACAATAGACCAAAGCTGGAATCCCTTGACTGCACTTCAGTGATTACCCAGTTTTCTGTCCTTGTAAGAGATGAAGGAAGGACCTATGGTGAGATGAAAAGAAACACATACTTTCCAATGGCTATTTATGACAATTCCCTMTAGCTTGTTTTAAGCCCTTCATTTCTTGCATAATCTGTGCTGCTTTATAGTTCACAGTTATATGCAAGTAAAATTCAATCTAGCAATTTGCCAGAGCATCTTTTTCCTGGCAGCTTTTTACCTTCTGCTGTCTACAAACAAACATTTCCATATCTAGCCAGKTCTTTCCTTTCTGGATGGAAAACCAGCATTTTTCTGTAACAGTTCTGTCCACTTCAACTCTAAAAAGTTTAGAGAAAGGACCAGCTCCACTATTCAGTGCCTTCCTGCTGCATGCTCTCAAAATACAAGATATGATTGCAAATAGATAATCTCATCTAGGCCTCCTTTCCCATGGTTGGGCTACAGCATCTTTTCAGGTCCCTTCCAATCTGGGCTCTTCTATGGTTCCGTATCTTGAACAGAATGTTYAAAACAGAGAATGTACTCTGTATAACTATTTATTTTTAAAGATTTTTATCTGTTAGAGGGAAATGCTTTATAATGATCATGTAAGTCATATTGTATCCTYTATATAGGAATCCAAGAAGTGCCARTAAYTTAATTCTTTACCTCCCTTTACATAAGCCTCCCCATAGCAAGTTCTCCAAAATTCCTTCCATAATAGAGATCAGTTTCACTCCTACTTTTCCTACAGCATGTTACTGATTTCAGAGTCCAGTCTGCCAGCATGCCAGTGTATTCACTTTTGTTAGAACAAAGTACAAATGAAGTGATGTTGTTCCTTCAAGACTGTCTGACTCACTGCAAATGCTGGTGAACTACATGCAAATATCACACTGACTGTAAGCTTGATCTAAGTGCACAAGAATTCATGCCTAGCTAATCAGTTGATTACATTTTATATGTTCCTTCGTATTTCCTATATTAATTTGCTCAGCAGCAGTGCAGCTYATGTTAAAGCAAATGGAACAGTAATGACACAATCAAAATACAAAGACATTGCCTAGATCTGCTAATAGAGCAGCTCTTGTCATCCAAGTTTGCCAGACAATGGCTCACACTTACCATATAGTGCATTCTTTGAGGGGGAATACACGAAGGCTAATGTGTAGAGATAAAAGTTCAATAAACCATAAAATGATAAGAATTCTGCTGGTAGTTAAGTGTCAAGGATATTGCTCAATACAGTTCTCTCATTAACTTTGGAAACAAGACACAACCCATACRCAGGCTGTTTCAATAGAAAGAATGTTCAACTTACTGAGGTTTGAGAGCATGAATGACTAAACAAAACTGATGTTATAAATTCAATGACCACTAATGTACTCAAGCTAKTTCAAGGCAAAGCTCCCACTGAAAACAAAGTTGTAACACAAGTAACATTTGCTGAGCTACAGTCTGCTATTGAGCAGTGAAGTGCATGTTTGATCAAACAGTTCTGCCTTCAATGCTGAAAGAAAGAGGAAGTTGGGTGTTCAGGTGGGCTGCGTTTGGTTTATTTTTWAAAAAGTTCTTCCTTGGCACAGTGGTTAACAAGGAAGGAGAAAGGACTATGTGTGGATAGAACTCTGAAGATGGTTTCTTACCATTTTTTTGGATAATACTGAAGGCTTTACATATTGCTTTCTCATACCTCCTAACTCATACCTAATCTGAGCAATAACCAGAGCAGCTGCAGTCACACAAGCACTCTCAGAAAGTAGAATGCATTAGGATATCATGGTTCAGGGCCAGGAATACAGGTCATTATCCTGTTGTCAACAGACTTTAGACTCTCCCAAGCCACTTAAATTCTCTGTTGTGACCTATAGCACATGTAGACTTGGACCAATACACAAATGCATTTTCACTGACTTCTAAACTATTAATTTCTCATATTTTATTATGCCCCGTGACAACTGGTAAGCACAGAGCAAACAACTGAGGCAGCTAATACAGTCGAATTTATCATAATGTCTCATGAAAATTACTTAGATATGCACCAGGCATGCATATCTAAGGCTTCATTCCTCTTGGAGAGTATCAAAAGCAGCTGTGATTCATGTGATGTGGACACATTAGACTGAGACTGTCTAGGTCATAACCTTTACAAAGAGCCTTAAAAAATGCTGACAGGAAATCTCAAACAAAATAGACTCAATTTTAAAAGTCTACCTAGAAGTCAAAGGTTTCAGCTTAGGTACATAATTTTAAAGTAACTTCTGCATGAAAACAGTTTATCATTCCTACTTGAGCAGTATCACAATGCAAGGATATAATTCTGATAATGAGTTGACAGCTCAGCAACAAAGTTGTCCTGAAGAACTTGTGCTCCAAAACGTAGGTAGAGTATAACAATGCTGTGGGGAGAAAATAAAGCATATAATTTGCACCCAAGGGTGCAAAATTTAAATAGTACGTTGATAGAAGAGTATACGAGAGAATAATTATGTTATTTTTTTAAGATACATTTGCTCTCTGAGTTCTAAACTAAGAATGATTCTTTTGTGATTAAAAGCCAGCACTCAGCTGAGAGTAGCAGAAATCTTCAGATTTCATCCACTACAGGCATCCAATAGTCAACAGCAATTTGAAATAACAGCTTGGTGTGAGGAAAACAGRTGTTAACAATAATATAAGAAACTAATAGTAAACTTCTGCTTTGATTAAGTGAAGCTTACAAAGCTCCAGAAAAGCTCTCCCAAGTGAAATTCTGCATCTTTTAGTGAACTGCCATAGTAATCAAAATAATATAAAGTTAGCGCAAAAATTTTTTAACCCTCATGAAGGGTTAAAAAATTAAGAAACACTTGCCATCACAATAGTATCAAAAGGCATTCTTCAGTTTCATTGACTATTTTATTAGCAACAAAATGTATTCAAAGCCCAGAAAAAAAGGTTAGAAAAGCTACAGTACTGATTTGAAAAATGTACTTTGAAAAACCTTACCTAATGACAAGCACTACAAATGTTAATGCAGTCAAGAATTTTAACCTGAGATCTGAAAAAGAATGAGAAAAATTGTTATTAGTTTTTTTAAAATTTGTTATTAATTTACACCTACATCTAGGAGAAATGAGCCTGTTTAGGAAGAATCAAAAGAAATWTTTCTTACCAACATAAGGCATGTTTCGAAGTTCTGAACATGCCCTCACTATCAGGAATAAAAGGTAGAGAATGTATGTGGTTGCCACCACAAGGAAGAAGATTTTCATTCCCTGTAAGAAAAATGTTAGGTTTGATTATTTAATAAGATTTCATCTAGTCCTCCTTCTGTCAATAGAAACCATTAGTTCCCAAAAGCACAACACAGAATGGTCCACTTATTCAGGGAAAGTAGGCTCATGAAACAAGGATGATAATACATTCAGGTAGGTTTTTGGGGAATRTAAGGAAAGGATGCCTACTAGAAGCCAGGATTTTGTTAACTGACTTCAGAATTGGTTGAATATCTGAATAGTAATTTTCTAAAAACACAGGTCCCAAGAACAATAGAGGGACCCATGTATATCAAATCTTCTTTTACTACAAGTCTGAAATTTAGTAGGGTAGTAGACCTTGGGCAGGAGTTAAGATGTACAAAACTGACTTAATAACAGACTTAAATTTTATTTTTCAATCCAAACARTCAAGAGTCTGTGACTAAACTTGCGGTGTTTAGTCTCCAGATTTGCAAGAYAATTTACTTTTCTCAGCAGGATGGAGAATAGTATAGTCCATGCATGATCTAAAGCAAAACCGAAAGTACTATAGTCAGAGTAAGATTATCTGACTAGCACTTTCTATTTTATAAATTGTTTTATAGATTTTTAAAGAAGAACAAACTTTCTATCTCCTTATCTTGCCTAACTGTACCTAGCAATTGGACAGCAAGAAGACATTTCTGACTTACCTGGAAATTGCCTGTGTCAACCCTGTATTGATATGTAGGATCATGTACTTCATTAACACTAGAAAAGATTCAAAATTAAAAAGTAGTACATGCACAAATCCAAACRATGTTAAAAAGACATACTGACAAAAACCACTCACAAAGAAAAGGTTTAAGGTTACTACATAGAGTTTACAACAAAAGGGTTTGGCTGAGTAGTTGGTGCAGTGCCATTCATTCCAATGGAGTAATGACAATTTACTATATATAGCAAAATAAACTTGAAGAAATACGGAGAATTTAAATTGTGATAATGTTTAATGTCCCCACTTGTTTTTTAGAAAATGTGTAACTTGTAAATTCCTACAAGACTTCAGTGTTTACAGTTTATCCTTAGAAAATTGTGACATGAGGCCTTTCCTCATAGCAATTCCATTAACAGCACAAGCATTTCCTGCAACTGCATTGCTTTCTACAAGGTGCAATGGAAAGGAGGTTAGAATGTATATTCTTTGTGAGAGATAAAGTAAGAGGCAAACCCTTGAGACTAAAACAGTGTAGAAACTAAATGTACTAAAACAGATTAAGTTTTCTGGGTGGGGAAGAGTGACACATTTATGTTAACATAACAAAGTGGAAAAAAGTGAGAACCATTAAACCAAGCAAAAGGACAGAGTTTTGAGTAAGCCAWGAGTAAGCTTGACTAAGCCATGTCAATACCAATTATGCATGTTTAATAGTCAAGAAAGTCTGGTCAAACTATGTCATAGTTAACAATAGAGAAACTTTTGCTTCAGATACTAAAGCTAATTGAGACATAGCACTAGAGTGATTCTTGTAGGGAGCCATACTGTACTGACAAACTAGTAATTTCTAGATCATACTCTGATTTATGAAATTCTTTACTACTAGGTTGTCCACAGAATACCATTTTTAAATCAGCGACAATTTGCAGAAAAGAAAGATGTAAGAATTTGAACTCCATTCCTGTATCACAATCAGTGCATTAAGAAACCACTAGATATAAACAATCTTCTCATTCTTGAACACTCTCAGCTCATACTTGTGCACCACATTTTAAATTACTTACGTTTGCCATATTCCCAGTGTAACAGAGGCCAGCCACAATAGTCCAACAATAAAGAATTTGGGCAGATAGAAAGTTAAACACTTCCTTTCCCCCTGTTGAGAAAACAATGGTGTGGTGAAGGTGTGAACACACATTTGAGATTTTATTCATTCTTGACAGAATAAAATWWAAAAAAAAAAAMCAYGGACTTTATTAAGACACTCATCTTCTGTAATTTTATCCTGCACAGGTGATTGGAGAAAACACTATATTGTATCATCATTTGTATTAGTAAGATGAAATAGATTTGGAGCATCCTGTTTATAAGGTCCCATATATTTCACTGACAGGAATCAGATCTAGAATTTCTATTTCTCTAATGCAGTACTTTAAAGTAGTTTAAAAAACCAATCAACTACCACATACAATGTCAAAACCCTTCAAGCAAGAACAAAGCATAATGGCATCATAAAATCATAATTCTGAAGACTGTTCCCTCTATTTCATTTGGGCTTGGTAGACTCAAAATAATCTACTTCACCATAAATCATTTTAAGTCCAAAGSTCATATGTCACATTGCACTTTATGAATAAAATAAGGTCTGTTTTGTAAAAATTTGGTTTCCTTTTTGTCACCTACTGAGAGAATTGAACAAAACAAGTCCTGTCTCCTCAGGAAGTACAAGGTGCATCCCTTACCTGTACTCTTATACCATGGTAGACACAAAGCCAGAATAACAACAATGCACACAGAAACAGTGACTGGAAGAGATCATCCAGCATTCCAGGAAACCARCTRTTCACCAGAAAAGAAAGGGGGAAAAATGGATCTACAACAAAATGAGAAAAAAGAAAGTTAAACAAGAGATAAAAAAACCTTTCATTATGAAAAGTAAAGCAGAATCTATCTTCAGCGGAAAAAAAAACCCTAAGATTTTTCAAATTACACCATACAGAAATTAACAAAATGGTGCCTCCAGCAGCAATTCTCTCTGCTGTAGAAATAATCTCAAAAGGTTACCAACCTTTTGAAATCTAGAAGATTTCAGGTTTTATTAGAATTTCTATTACACCACTGTTAATGATCACACAATGACTAAGATGCAAATATGCTTTTGGTACTCCTASAAAGTGCTAGAATTTGATGTGTTTCACAGGACTAAAAGTAGCCTCCATTTTTAGCTAAAGYGTGAGTATCTGAAAAATGGAGAAATCAGACAGCAGACAAATGGAAATTGACAGACAATCAGTGTGGTAGGCACCTATTCCAATCAGAGCTTTAAAAAAAGAGTTGACATTCATGTGACTAAGAAGAATGAAATCAACCCACTCATACCCTTGAATTTGCTACATTTGAAAGGGTTAGGTTTTTTTAAATTTAGTTTTCTGAAGCCTTATAAACAGCTGCTTATAAGTTCAAGGAGAAATTCCATTTTGTCTGCTCTTTTTTTTTTTTTTCCTATTTCTTTTTTAAAAAGGAGTTGACATTCATGTGACTAAGAAGAATGAAATCAACCCACTCATACCCTTGAATTTGCTACATTTGAAAGGGTTAGGTTTTTTTAAATTTAGTTTTCTGAAGCCTTATAAACAGCTGCTTATAAGTTCAAGGAGAAATTCCATTTTGTCTGCTCTTTTTTTTTTTTTTTTTTTTTTTTTTTTAAAAAGGAGCCTTTCCAAAAATTCCAGGATACAAGTACCATTGTAAAGTAGCAAGAGAGGAAGCAGGATGGACATCCATTTCTGTTCAATACCCCAATCTCTCATAGAAAATTTCCGCAGGGAATGTGCAAACAGACACTGTAAACAACAACAAYAATTTTTAAGGAAGGAATACAGCCTTAAATGGTTTAAGCAGAGATAACAGAGAACAGCACATTACAAAGGCCACTTCATGAGGTCTTTGCCACTGAGAGCACTGTAAAATGGAAGCCAGGTCTCCTAGTTTCTACTTCAAGTTTGCTCACTCACCCCAATGCAAATTACTTAATTTCTCAAGCAAACTGAGAAGTAAACCAGCCAGTACATGAAAATCAACGTGTGGAAGAAAAAAAGTTGCCTCTTTACTGGTCACACACTATCAAAAACTTCCACTTAAACTCACTTTTTTAAAAGGTGAGTTTGCATTTTATATTCAGTTACCTGCTGAGCAACATCATGTGGGAGAAAAATACTATGTTAGTATGCAATACTTTATGAGCCTACTCTAAAAATACAGGATTTTAGATTTTATGGTTTTTTTTTTTCTCAAACCCGTATTTTCCAGGAGTTGAGACAGGTTAGAAAGGAGACATGATCTAAATCATGGCATAATTTAGGCTGCAAGGGACCTCTGGAGGTCATCTGGCCCATCATCACACAGAAGGCAGTGATAACTTAAAAGTTTGATAAAGGTCATATACACCTGAGTTCTGCTCATTTTCAGAGGCAACCAGCCCACACTCTGGCCATCCTATAGCAAAGTGTGAGCCTACCTACAGTGCAAAAAAATTGCTTTTTTTAGCATCTCATCACAATTTCCTTTGTCTAAGCACAATTTTTTGTTTATTCCGAAACCAGGGTTTAGAAGAACAAGTTTTCCCATTTATCCTATTTTCTTAATGTCTCTGTAAAAAGCATAAAAGCAGCAACTACATAAGTATTTCAGAAATGTTTTTACACCCATTCAGTGACATGTCAGCTTTGCTGCCTGGGGTTAAATTACTAAACACAGCACTACAGAGCAGTGTTATCAGCTGCCTCCATAATAAACTCCAAAAAAGATGAAACAAAATCTTACCGTGACCATAAAAGTAAGAACTACAAAGACAAATCGGAACCATATTTCCACTTGTGAAAAAGTCGGATTATAGGTCTTCCACTACAAGAAAAGAGCCCAATGAATAGTATTTTGACAGACTACATATGAAAGCAATAATTAGCACTTTATCTGAAGTTGTGGCTTTTCAAAATTGAAAGGTATAACCAAATTCCACTAGGCCATCATGGAAAGATAAATTTATACCCACAGGACTATCTGATAAAAAGATAAGCAAAGCAGCCTAATAGCCTTGCTTCTCTTTTGTCCTGCTACTTCATAAGATACGCAGTGCTGTCATATGTCAAAGCATTCGCAGGACAAAAAGGATAGTCTTCATTGATTTCAACTGTACTTTCAAAGTTTGAATGCCAATAAATGAGTAAATCCAATATGTKCTTCTGTACTACCAAGGCCAGGTATATAAATTGATTATGAAGAGGTAAATAAGGTACAGGGGTACTTCCTGTAAGGGGTTTGTTTTCTTAAAGTTTACTCACTTGTCTCAGAAGTTAAAAAGACAAAATCATATCAAGGAAGGATAAAAAGCTTACTAGAAATACAAAAATCTTTACATAGCTTAARGGGGAAAGAGTCCTTCTTCTACTCTAATTATTAGAAAGGCATAAATATTAATTATAACATATCAGTTTGCTTAAACTCTGCTCTGTTGACAATTTATTTCATACCTGGCACGCTTCTGAAGCCATTTTTGAAATGTAAACTCCCTGGCACAACATATGCTCTGCTCATCTGAACAAGAAGCTTTACCTTTCAATATATTAAATCTGTCAAYCTCTGTCTTGTCTTTTTAAACTGTAAATGTAGAATGAAAATTATATGTAGAGAAGCCCATTATGCAAAAGGCAATCCATTGATTTCAACTGARATCACCATAAACAATTGTAATAATRAAAAAAAATTGACAAYTTTAGTTGCTGCAAGAAAGTTTGGGTYAGTTTTTTTGTGGGGTTGCACATAGGTCTTAAAGGCAGCCTGCAAAGCAAGATAATAAACTCYACAGCTATAAATGCCCCAACACTTTGTTCTGTTTGAAGTCCAGAACTAAATAAAGGTTGTGAGCTTAGGGTGTTTTTCCCCCTCAGTGCTTATTTTTAATTATGAGCTTTATGTACTAGAATATTAAAAATATTAATATTTAGAAAGTTAATTTGRTATATTAAAAGTATTTTTCCTTTACAGTAAGATTTTTGCTTGCTATCTGCTCTGACACACTGTATGCTGTATACAGGTAAATATACCATAGTAACCTGTTTTATAAACTTGGTTTAGTTCCATTTTCTCCCAATGAAAATRTTTCTAAACTTCTTTCTGGGTTCAATCAATACACATGATATAGGTGTTGTATAAGCAATAGTAAGCAGTATGAACTGAGATAATTATTCCACAGGAGATTATTTCAGTGAATTATTTAGGTAACCTGCTTGTTTTAGCTGGAAAAAAAAAAAATCTGTCTTCCTCATAAGCACAGCCCCCCCCCCCAAAAAAAAAATCTTCATTTTTCTTTGGGTTTGTTAAACCTTTACAACCCACACTTTTGTAAAGTCTGGAAAATTCTGCWAATTCAAATACACCTCCTTGAGACGCTAAAAAATTTCCATGTTTCAGAGAGGCAACATCTCTAATAAGCAAATGCAGAGAAGTGGATGTTCTAATCTATCTTGCCTGCTGTAAAATATATCTCTCAGGAATCTGACTGTATTTATTTGTTATAGAAAATAGCAGCACTAGTTCTGACAGAAAATAACTTCCTTATAGAGTTAAAAATTGGTCTAGACCCTCATCAACAGTAAATGCTATAATACCTCTGACATAAGTAGTGACAGAAAAAATAATTATGATGCATTTTTGTATTTATCTTCAAAAACCTGATACTTTTTTGTTACCGTTTTAAAAGCAGACTTCTATAGTATTACAGAGATCTCTTACTAGTATAAGGCTTTATACTTACTGTGAAAGTAATATTCTGGATGGAGTCCGTTAACTTGTTTAGGTCTTCAAAGCTAACAAATATGTTGTACTGAGTGTAGTTCAGGTAGCCAAGGTGAGCAACAATGATTTCACTGCATTTCTGTGAACACAYATACAGAATAGTACATCTTCAAATAATTCCAGAATATGCACCATTAGTATAGGTTGGATAATTTGTTTYTAAATGGTCCAATACTGATGACATTTATTATATAGCTCACCAATCACAATCATTCTGATCAAGACTTTCTTGGAAAAAAACAGAGAGAACAGAAGAAACTGATAAAGTCAGCTAGGTGGATGAATGGCTGAACAATAAATAGGGCTAGCTTTTCACTCAATCTGGTGAAAGCAACTGCTTTAAGCACAAGGACAGATCTGAGTAACTCTGTCAGTCAAGCTTGTGAGATCGGGCTATCCTGTACAAACTCATTTTTAAAAGTTACAAGAGGAAAAGAGAAAAGCCAAGTATGTTGCTCTCTTGACTGTGWGTAATTAAATCTAATGGAGCACTATTAATTAATTTCTGCAAATTTCAAAGATATGTGCATGTATCTATATAAAAACAAAACACTTGATTTACTATACATGCTTATCACAAAAATTTCTTCTATGTCCTTCCTAAAGGATTTGCATCTGGAGAAATTGTTTTGGATGCCTTTAAGCTTAAAAATTTCAGTGAAAATTACACCAAAATCTTCAAACATTTCTTCACAGGGGCAAAAAAATATGGCTTTTTCAGAACACAGTTGCCACCTGATTTCAAGCAGACTCTGCGAGATGTCAGAGAGAAGATTTTTTCTCCTCTGGAATCCCATATCCAATCTTCTATTACAATATCCCTTACTTTTGTACTGCTGAACCTGTTTAGGTGACTGAATAGGACCCACTACTTTACTGACAAAAAGCAACTCTAACAAGAAAGAAGGGTCTTTAACAGGCAATAGACACAAGTCACAGAAGGAAACAGAAAACGATGGACAGGTAGGTGTCTTGTCAGCATTACTGACTACACCGCCAGGATTAATAAAACTGTCCTGTAGAGTCTTTCCTGAGCTGTGTTCAACAGGTACACTCTTCTTATTTGCAATCTAAAGTAGCATGCACACAAACAGATTTGAAGAAAATGCACTACATCAGAGTTTTGTTTAAGCAAGTAAATACCTGTGCACAACTGAGTAATCTCGTCCGATTGTGAACCTGATTGTTAACATATGGTGTGCTTCCATCCTTCACCACTCCCAGCACTTTGACTGTCATAGTCACATTCTTCTTGAGGGATACTGGAATTAAAACAGAAAACATTAAACTATTGCTACATGCAGAAATGAAATCTCAAACAGAGTTCCAAAATTGTTTAAAACACATATGCTATCCAAACACTACTCAGACTTACTCAGTTATATTTTCCTGGAGTAGGGGTACAGTATTTTTACACATAGGCAGTAAGTCACAAGCCCTGTACTGAATCTTGACAGATTAACAATTACTAAGACAGTATTTCTCACATATATACAGGGAAGCTTTATTGAAAAATTAGTATCATTACAATCTACACATCTATTTCCCCCCAAAATGAAGAAGAAAATACATAGATTATCTAGATGCTACTGTTTTCACAGAAACAACAAACAACTTTTCCCTTATGCTGCTTACAATTCAATCAGTGCTGCCCATGTTTTTACTGAGGGAGAGGGGGAAGTGGAAGAAAAGTATATCAGAGGAAAAAACCACCAACCACAGCCAAAAAACAACAGGACCATGTGTGTKACAGATTAAATTAAACATACGATAGACAAATTGCTATAGCAGTTTCTCACCATCCTGCTGATCTAACTCAACTACGCAGGTCAGCCACAGCTGCTGGTTGTAAGTTGACAGTGGTGGTGAACTTAAATTAAACGGCTTCAGCTGTCAAAAAAAAACCCACAAGGTTAGCACCAGCCCTAACACTATTACAGGACATATCTGTAGGTACAATGCTGAAAGGCATGTTAATTATATTTGTGACAATGCTTTTGAGAAGAGATTTATATGAGCTGGTCTGCGGGAAGTGTGATAAGCAGCTGAAACAGAAGTCTTCCAGACAAGTAGCTTAAAGAGCACATGGATTTTGCACAGCACTGCAGTAAGRAAGGGTATGACTACCTAATACCCATGAAAACAGAAGCAATGAAACAGAAAAACTCAGATATGTAAAACAAAATACTGARGCCTAGCCTGAACGTAAGAAATAATTTTTAGCACTTTACATCAAAAGTCAGATTTGTGGGCTTTCATCTGCCASACAGTTTTAAACTTGTTCAACTGTAATTACAAAAAAGCCCTATTTTCCACTAGGCGTTCTAAAAATCCCACATTGCGTTCAAAAGAATGAAAGATATCATTAATACAAAAAAACTACATGCAGGAAAGACTTCTCTAATTTGAAATCAAAATGTGATTTTAAAAAAATCTACCCACAGTACTGTATCAATCCAAACATATACAGGTGACTAGTAGATTAAAAAAAAAATGAAATGTCCCAGTATATTTAAAGAAAACATGTTTTAAAAAAAAACACAACAAAACCTTTTTATCACTTTCACAAAAAAATACTGTAGATATTAGGCTGACAGTGAAGCGCTAGACAAACAAAAATGCAAGAACCAAGAACCAAAATATGAAAGCATTTAAGAACATGTGAATGCTCCTGTTAGGAAGCCAAATCCCATGTCTTGGTCACATAACAGTGAACAATTTACCAGAAAAAGAAATATTCCTTCCCAGATGATAGAAAGGGAAATCACAAGAGGGATATCATTAGTTGCCACTGAATGATTGTTCTTCAATTTGTGTTCTCAATTTATATTTCTGAACCTCCTAGAAGAATCTCCARTTAATTCACCAGGGAAAAACTCACGTGTCACTTTATCAGAAACTGCTGTGCAAAAACATCCTAGGATGCTCTACCTGACCTGCTCACAACAATTAGAGACCAGAAATTGCTGCAGGGCTATTCATGAAGCAACATAGTGGTGGTACAATATTGCATGTTCAGTTTCAAATTGGAAAGCATCACTAAGACATTATACAGTAAAAGTTAAATATTTAAAATAACTGGGGCAAAGGAGGGAAATGTTTGACATTACTACCATCAAGTAAAGCCATTCATATAATCCAACAAAATTTATTTACTCTTACCTTTAGGCTGTTATTTAAGTCAGTTCTTGCTACAGAAGTTTCAATTACATTAGGACCTACACAATATATAAGAAGCAAGAAAGAAAATAATATTGAGGTATACATATTACTGATAAGTAATGACATAAATACAGTATATTTTCAAAAGACTGTACAGAATGCCTCCCTGCAAAGCAGGTAAATAGTATTCCACTTTTCAGATGTTTAAGCTGAAGGGTAAAGCATGTGGATATTTCAATATAATTTATAAATTCGGCCTGAATGTTCTTTAAGTATCTCTGCCACAGTATTTCTAGACATAGTTAAATTGGAAGTAAATTATAAATCAAGAGCTCCATGTTGGAAGCCCCGAACATGTACTCTAAACTACTACAATTTTAATTTATACATATATATATATCCCAAGCTGTTATGGCAGTGCAGTCATGAAAGCACTCAGCTACAGAACAAGCTAGCTAAGYACCATGACTCTGTTGTTACAGTGACTCAAAGCTCAACAAGGGCTGCAAAAACCACCTGAAAAAACAGCACATTACATTGCACTGTGAATTTTCTACAGCCAAACGGTTACCATTATCTGGCTTACATGGAGCACAGTGTCTATAATGTGCTGCACTCAAGGCTCAGGCACCAGGGCAAGCACATCCCATTGGAGTTGGTGCATGATGCTACAGCCTTTTTATAYAGAGGTAGTACTTGCCTATACAACCACAGTAAGAGTACCTTCTSACTAAGGATGGATTTTCATTGCATCGGTCTGTTCAAGCCAGGATACCACATGTTTGTTTAGCAACAGTTCTCAATTTACTCAGATTGGACCTCTCCTTTTCTACAGAAACCCAATGCTATCATATATAATGTAAATCATTGCAAAAAGATAACTGCATAGAAGCTGTATAAGCAATTTATCCTAAAGCAGATAATGTATTTAATAAMTAATTTCATGTCCAGTTGTAGTGGGAGATGTTCAGCCCGATATCAGACCCTTTATGTAACCATTCCTCCAATCCTTCTTGATATGGACACACACTTAGCATGTACTGACAAACACTACAAATCCATTCACTCACACCCTACCTCTAGTTCTGCACGCAGTAAAAGGGAAGCAATAAAATCATAATTTATGTCAGAAGAGACCTACAGTGGACATCTAGCCCATCCCCTTGTTTAATTAGATCAGGTTGTTGAGAGCCATGTCCCATTAAGTCTTTAACATCTTTTAAGACAGAAACTCCCACAACCTGTCTGGGAAACCTGTTCCAGTATTTAACAACCCTTATGCTAAGAAAAAATGTCTTGTATCTAACTGGAATTTCTTGTGTTCCAGCTTTTGCTGCCTCTCCCCCATCATCATGTACCACTGAGAAAAGCCCATTTTCTGTGTATCCCTGATAARTTGGTTGCAGATAGCAGTACAATTTCCCTTTAGCCTCCTTAGGTATGCAAGAGCACAGGGTACTGAGGAGAAGAATRCATATAYGGTTTTACAAAACRTGAAAGGACTAAACCAGGAAAGTGACAGGGAAGAGTAGAAAAAGATCTGTATCTACACAGCAGGGTGTGAACAAACACAGAGAAGATGTATAGCAGGTAGGGACACAATCAGGACATGAGCAGGACCTATATTTGGGCCAGTATGTCTGTCCATATATTTGGTCTGGCAGTTTAATGGAATTWATTAATCCTCAAAATACACTTTTTTTAATCACAAACTCAGTACTGTAAAAATTATGCAAGAAAAGCAGTTTCTCACAAAGACCAAACACCTCAGAGTTACTACAGAGAAACAATGGAAAAGAAGGAAGTTTATAAACTTCAACAACGGGAGCAACATGGGATCAGTCTGTGCAAAAAGTATTTTAGGTTGGCTGTCATGACAGTTCTAAACATGCTGCACTGCTTGGACTGCTACAACCACTCTAATATCAATATTAACCATCTTACAGACCTAAAAGGAAAAATCAAGAATTTCAACCATCACAATCAGGATTTCATATTAGAATTGCAGTGCAACATCACTGTCAGCTGCCCACTATAAAGCCAGTTCTGCATCATTGAACTTTCAGTTCTCCAGTACATATAAACCAGATTTTTGAAAGGCATTTTTTGTTTTAAGAAGCATAATTCAGTTTCAATAGATATTCCCAGCTGGTAAGACATCACATGTCAGTAATTAAGTCTTGACAAAACCAAAAGAATTAGCCTTTTTTAAAGTTGTTTATTTTTAATTGGAAGATATGAACCAATTTTGGGAGTGAGAAGTCACCAGCCAAAGTTTGTAAGAACAGCAACCAAACAAATAATGAAGTTCTAGTGCTAAAACTGCCACTCCTCTAGCCAGTGATATATAAAAATTGTTTAAAGCAACTGACCAACATGATGCTGTAGCTGCATTATTAACAAACAGAGACCAATGTCAATTGTTGTTGTTTTTCTTTTAGTCTTGCTCACTTAACAGAATCACAGCTGAAAGCAAAGAAACACCCTGAGGTGATGAACACGAAAACTGTAAAGGAACAGAAAATGAGCTCYGCACCTTGGATTCTCTTTGCACTTGTCTCACCCCAAAGATAAACAGTTCCATTGGGAAAAGGGAAAGAAAGTGAGTGCAACTTGCAAAAAAGACCAAACAAATCTGTGTCTGTCTTGGGCTACAAAAACTGTAAGAGCAACATCCATCTCAGATCAAACTGTCTTGACTTCTCAGATGAAAAGCAAGACTTCTGCCAGGCTTCCCAAACTGCAGGTAGAGATGCTAAGTGTGGGCAATGGCATATTCAAGTAGCGCAGAAAATATGGATGTATCTCCCACACTTTCATTTACTTAAGTGGGTTTGGTGATCAGATTTTAATGAGGGAGCATTCTACTGTTAGAGCCCCTCCTTCTATTCACAGGAAGCAAGCAGCTGTCAACAAAAGCCATGAGGAGTATCACAGTAATTGTTCAGTGGGTCTCCTCCCAATGTAAACAGCACTCTTTWAAAAATAATTGAGTCATAATAATGAACCGTGTTCACGCTTTGCCAACCAAACTATGCAGCAAACCAATCTTACAAGGACAAGAACCCGACAGTCATGCCGTTTCTGAAAGGGATCACAGGCAAGGCCTGGAACCACACAGGTGACCAAGCATTGCTTACAGCAGCCAGGTCCCCCTGAGCTAAAGGTAACCACATCACCAGATTATTCTGCATGCAGACACAATACACCAGCACAGCTCTCTCAGGTTCTGCTACTGATTAAGAACAAAACAATGTTTTCTCTTCCAGGAGCATTGCTTTTTGCTAGTCTTACATAAAACAACTTTCTTTCCTTTCATTTCTTGCAACCTGGCAGTGAAGTACACAACTATAAATATGGTTCCATTTTAAAGCCAAATAACCAAATTACACTAAATTAAATAATTCAGTTTCTTTTCCTTTATCATTCATATAAAATGCACTTTTGCAAATGCATTTATGCAGTATTTTAGGGGGCAAATAATGCCCTTCAGCACCCTTCAGCAAGTCACAGGAATATTAGCAGTAAACCATATGAACTGAAAGTCTATTTAGACCTTAGGCTGCTATAATAAATCAAACAGCAGGAAAGATGTTTTTATTTYACAGACAAATTTTATGATTTAAGGCTATTATGAAAAATGTACTGCCTACAAGGCAAAGATGGGTATAAGAAGYCCAAACAGCTGCTTCCAAATAATCCACCCTTCTTTCCAAGGCAGGCAGGACTGGATGGCTCCTAGTCCTGGGAAATCCTTTTCATTCTGAAGGAGGTGAAGGACAGGACAGAAGTAGAGACAACCCAACAGGTCAAAAAGAGTCAGAGAGAGGCACAGGAGAACACACTGAACATGCTGGGTGATGGGGAAGTCAGCAGTAGAGGAAGATGGTAACAACCTAAAGTGATTCTTACATAGGGGTGGGTTGCTAAAGAGCAGCAGTCCCTCCCTTGACCTTTCCCTGTTTGTCACTTCTGTATTGATAAAGCTCTCTTGACAGCACAGTATTAGTATACTTAATACCGCTATGATTTATTTTTCAAAAATGTTTTAGACCTGGAAAAGCTCTCTGGCATGAGATAAAGAGGGCTCCCTTGCTTTTCAACTCCCTAGTGACACTGCATCTTTGTTGACCAGACTTCCACAAATCTCTCTGATCTCCAGGATAAATACCCAGGCACTAAGTGCTTAGCCTCCTGGGTCACATCAGGACTCTCACAAAGATCCTTGAAACCAGAGACCTAAGCTCATGTATGTTTTACTAGTGAAGTTCATATTTTTACTTTAAAATATTTTATATTTCTGTGGCATTTATCACCCAAACATTTAGAAGATTTTACAGTTATCAGTTTCCTCAAAGGAAAACAAGTATTAACATTATCATTTTACAGATAGAAATACAAAGAAAAACAATTAAGGCAGCAGTCTACTGAAAAATTATTGCAATTATGCTSTGTTTGTTTTATTTTACTAACTCTCCCCTGAAAAGCAGTTGCAAATACCAAGTTTTTGTAKGTAGTACTCCTATGAAAAAGTGAGATGAAAGAAACACTTTCCTGTCAAAAGTAATGCTTCCTTCCACAGACAACTCAGGAGCGGCAAGCTCATTAGCATTTAGATACATCTGTAAATACCAACAGGTCTAGACAAAGTGTACAAGAACYGTAATCTTTTAAAAAGAGAACATCCTTACCTGCTATTCCTATGAAGACTGTCAGACCAAAACAAACAAAGAATACTACAAAGACCAGAACAAAATGCCTTTTGGAAAGTGTATACAATCGCATTGGGGCCAGCCTACAGAAAGCAAAAGAAACCACAGAATTAGTGTCAAGCATATTTCTAAAGGGGCAGAAAATAGAMCCCATTCATTCTTCAACAATTAAACCAAACTCTGAGGTAACATGTGACAMTAAAAACACAAAYAGTAAGGCTGCARAACTCCAGATCTACTAGATGTGCATGCTCAGACTTTGAATTCTTGTCTGAGCTCCACCAAAGYTTGGGAAACAGAAACCTGAACTTAAGTCTACAACTGGGCACCTAAATACAAATACACACATACAGCAATGACATCTCTTGTACAACACTTTGGTGGTTATCATTAGGTTAAAGACAAAATGGAGGGAGAGGGGTGTGGGTGTGGATTGAAAATACCAATTGCATTCCCAGGAAAACAAGTAACTTCCAGTTCTGTTAGCATAGGGGAAATGTGATCAAATAATTAATCCTGTGTAATGTATCCCTCCTGTATCTTACTTWTTGTTAAATGCATTATTTTAAAAAAAGGACAAATCCACCCTGTTTCAAAATACAGCCAACATTTCCTCTTGAGTTATGTCAAAACTGAGCGACCATACACCTAACTTTCCACTGCTGTTCAGTAGGTATGACCGTAGGAATTTGTACAGTTTATATGGGAAAGCTGTAGGATTGGGGGGCTGATGGAGTAGTGGAGGCATTTTTTGATAAATTTGTATGAGCACTATCACAGAAAGAAATGAAACTGTAAGATTTTAATGACAGTGCTCCCTTTTAGCTTGTAATAGAACTTCCTTCTTTTTTTCACCAGCTGAGTGGTGCTCTTACTGGCTCAGCCCATTAACGAACAATTGCAGAAAAGGTGGTGAAATCCTTCCCACAAGCCCAGCCTGAGCCCTGGGACCAGGTACCATGTGCTGCATGCACAGCGGCCCTTAAAAGCAAGGCAAACAATTCACTTTAAACCAGTACAAGGAWTTAATAATAACAACCTCTATTTTCTCTGAGAATCACTACATTCTCTCCAAATGAAGCATTATAAAAAAAATTACATTATTCCTTTACTGTAAAGTTTGAGAGATCCAGATCTTAATATGTTAACACACACGGGAGGTGGGGAAGGGAGGAAAAACTTGCAGAAGTAATGACAACTGCAAGCAAGTAACTGCAAATGTTACAAGTCTGCACAAACTGGCTGSGCAGGACTGCAGGCGCAGGACTCCTGCAAAACACTTGCCACGCATCTTTATACATAGCAGAAACTCTGCATTAGCCTGGAAGTCAGAGCAGCTGATTGTACAGCCAAAAAAGGCAAATCATACCTGAAATTACCAAGTAATTACCCTATAAGCAGTGTGAGATCTCTCTCAGAGATCACACAGAAGCCTCACAAATTATTTCAAATTGACTTTTAAAAATGAAGGCATTTCAAACCAGAACTTGTTTGCACAACTTTTGCAGGTATACAACTGCAGTATTTTTCTTAAATCCATGCCTTAAAACTTCAGCCTTTATGCACTTAAACCATGTTAAAGCTACTAAATCTGTAGTAGTACTGAACTAAGGTGCATTTTTCTATCAGCTCCAAGGCACCTTCACTTCCACAGATGACCTGGTATTCCCTGTCTATCTGAGTACACCAAGTATGGGATATTATCTTGTGATACCAAAGTATCACTCTAAATTAGAAAACCCCTGACTTATAAAAACGGTATGTAAAATGCTGACATGCCTAAATTAACTAWATTAAGGGTTCAAGTGGATAGCAAATATTTCATGGCAGAGCACACACTGAGGATCTCTCAACAAAGCAAAGTGAGGCATATATGGGTCAAGCATCGCTGACAACTGGAAAAGTACCATGTTTGCAGTAAAGTGTAACATTTACTTGTGCTGTTGTGAACCGCTAATATTTGGGCATCCACTTAACAGCTACAGGCTGATGCAGGGTACTTCTGACTTGCTCTGCATGTTCTTGGTTCTTTTCACAAGCTTCCTCATTTCAAGGTTTTTGCAGACACTTCAAAATGCATGATCTGAGCATTAATAGCAGCTCCCTCCCCACACACCTTACAGGACRGTCACAAGTTCCCCACCCAGCCAACACTGGCAATTAGCACCGTGGTTTAATCATATGCCAGAGCAGATGTGCTTGTGAGCTTTTGAAGAAACACATTCCAGACATCGGCTCATTCTTTATTCCAATTCTGCTCTCCAGATGGTGCAACACCTAGTAGTYGGAATGGGCAGGTGTACACCTACCTATCAACAGGGATGCTGGTACCTAACAAAGAGTGGAGACACAGAGAGTAGGGACACACCCCGTGCTTTCCTTTCRTTCATACCTCAAGTCGCACTGAAGCCACTGACTGCTGCTTTAGAAGTCAGTAAGGCAACATGGGCATTTGTAYTAAGAGCAAATGTAAGAACTCAGCCAAATCTTAACTACATTTCTCACAAGGGCAAACAACAATTTATAGCATTCCTATCACATGATGCATGTTTCATTGCCTCTGGCAGCAGTTGCAGAACTTCCTTGTGTAGGTTTAAGTGTGTTGTTGCACCTATCACCAGCTGACATACAAAGCAGGTAAAATCACCTTCCYATAAGTTCATTGTTTAATACCTGCCTTTGGGAAAGAGATTATATAAAGTTTATGAATATACATAAGTGCAAGCTGGTGATCCCCCACTGACAGCTTCTTTCTTACATCTGAAAGACCCAATAAAGAATKAAATGTTGGAAAAGCATTTATGGGAAAATCAAAAAAGGTTCCTCAGTCTGGAAGCACCTGTTCAAACAAGTAAAGAACTGTGCTTTGCTCTACCAGTGGAAGATGATTTAATCAGCCCAACCACAGCAGTCAAAAGCTCAGGACTAGMCATCCTAAGTGTCTGCAAATCTTTCAGGCAGCTTTTACCACCCTTACTCAGCTTTATCCTAAATCAGGGTGGTTTATAATTAACTTATGTCTGAAACTGACTGCAAAGGAGAAGAAAGCACTGAGATACAGAGATATATTATACTTAGACATCTCAAATAGCAGTCAGTAAAAACTAAACTGCACTAGTGCAACCTGTGACAGAGTGAACTTTGGAAATGCACACTTGTAACAACTGCAATCTTTCAGTAGTCATTCATACATGAGATGTAAAAGTGGTTACATCTTGCTCTTGGAGTAAAGCTTTMTCTCAAAAGGTTCAGCAAAATGCTTCCTCATCTTCAAATCRCTTCTCAYAACTGCACAAAAATGYCTTTAATAAAGACCATAATGAAAAACAGAGCTTGTTATACAATAGTTTTCAGTTAAGACTGACTTTAAAGAAAGGAAAGCTGTGGCAAAACTGAAATTAAGCAGTAGGTAGGCACAGAGTTGATATTAAAACCAGAAATAACTCACTTTTATGCACAGCAGTTTTTGTGAAATCCTAGCCTCAACATCTCTGCCTCCAACTGCTCTTCTCTATTTTAGGCTCACTCCCAAATAGAACTATMAAACCCACTTTGATTTGAATGATCATGTATGCTACCTACATTCACAGTACTGGGTCTATCCATACACCCTGAACTTGCTCATGGCTTAAAGACATTGCTTGCTTCGGTGTCCCTCAGAAGACCTTGAATTTCTTCTTGCAGATGTATTCCACAACGGTTAATAGCTAATGAGGCAGCACATGACTACATAAAAAGAGGCATAAAATTAACATTGTCAGTACTATACAGAATTGCTACATGACAACTGACAGATAACCATGGCTATGCTTTACCTTTATATATCTGYATGGGGTGAGTTTGGCTTTTTTTTTTAGTTCTTATTTGTTGTATTCATTTAAGTCTGAATAATTAGTCACGGCTATGGCTCTGTCCATGAAAAGAGATATCCGGGAAAACAAGTTTTTCTTTYTCCGTTAACAAAAAATCTGACAGTGGAGATATGGGGGGGTGGGGGAGGTTTTATTCACCATATGAAAGGAAAACTCACACCGTTCCTCTCAGGAAGAGGGCAGTCACCCTCGGGGTTCTGAGTGGCGAACCACAGCCTCCGAAACATTAATCTAACCCTCGGAGGGCTAATTTCCTTAACGAGGATAACGTGTAYAAACTGAATTAGATTCAGGTTTCCCAGAGAGGCTGGGAAATCTCCATCCCTGGAGATATTTAAGACCCGTCTGGACACAATCCCATGCCATGTGCCCCAGGACTGACCCCGCTCGGGCAGGGAGGCTGCAGCAGATGGCCAATGAYTGCGGTCCCTTCCAACCCAACCCCGTCCATTCTGAGATTCCGTGAATGACAACCCTCAGCTCCTCCCTCAGAGGAAGGAGATTCCCGTCCCGGACCCGCCACCCGGAGCCAGCCCCGAGCACAGCTGTGGCCCCGTGTCCCCCCGCTCCCGCCGCCGCTCCCCGCCCCCACTCACGGCTCCATCGCGGCGCCGCACGCGCGCTGCCGCCACCTCCTCCGCGCGCCGCCGTGGCACCGCCGCCGGCGCCGCGCGACGCCTTCCGCGTGCGTCACC